ACTGTTTTGCAAAAGGCTGTACTGAGGATAAAAGGCTTCCGAGTGCATTTTTAATATTTTTGTGATTATTCTGTGTCTAAAGTGCAGCAAAAACGCATCTGAATTCAACTTCCATCTACGCTTCTGCTGTTAGCGCAAACACCAAAATGATGCTTACGCTTTAATGTTAGATGAAGCACCGCTTCCTCGTGGCTTCTGGCCTACAGGCCATCTATTAGGCGTTCCGCTGAGATAAATACGCTGAAATCATCGAGTCAACACAGGGCATTTGCTCCACCGAGCATTTTAGGTAGATTTATTTGCCCCTTCGAGTGGGCATTTCACCGTGAGTTTTACCCCACATGAGCTAATCTGACTTCCTGTGTATAAATGGCACTGACAAGTGTGGAAAAATGGCAAGCTAGCTGCAATTCTCTGAGCTCAGTAATGGGCTTTGCTGGAGATGAAGGGCAGAGAAGAGAGCAGCAATGCGAAAGGCATTAGTTAGTCCTTATTATGTTCGCATTCCACTGAAGTCTGTTCTTGCGCTGAGAAAGGAGTCAAACATATGGTCCTGACCCGCGCTCGCTACTGTCTCAATGTGATTATAGCTGATCTCTGCACCCGTAATTACTTCACATAAACTCACAAGCCGTTAGCTGCCTGCGTGTTTGAGAAGGAAAGCATGCCGTCATTGAAGAAAGGTCACGAGACCGTGCATTCGCATCTCGGCCCTGACCCATTTGGTCCGTATTACCTCGGAAAATGCTCTAAAAACGTCTAGTCCAGCAGATACAGCCGCTTCCGGATTGCAAGCCTCAAACTCAAATTGATTTATATTGCGCCATGTCGCCTATAAGTCGGATCCCAGCTAAGCGTTCATTAATTTTTCAGGACCCGTGGAGCCATTGTGTGATATAAATCTCTGCTAAACCTTGATACTGGCCCACGCCATGACTTTGAAGTGCTGCCTAATTAAGCGGCCGTGCAGTTAACGAGGCCTACAATAAGGCAGTGGGAAGATCTGAGAAATATATGATGTCTGTCGTAATATAGAAAACAGCGTGGGAGGAATACACCATTACGGCATCTGTCTATCAATATATACAGACCCCTAGCATGCATTCGAACACATGTCATTTTTTTTTTCCAGTTTCTGACAACACTCCAAGCACATTTTGAGTTATTTTGTTTTAGATAACCTATGCACAAAATGTCAACTAGTGTGCTATGATGTTGTTAAAGAGATAATCCCCTTAACAATACGCTTAGTTTTTATGTACTCGCCTGGTTCCATTGCCATATGCACCTTTTTCTCTTTGATGACATAGTTTTAAACTCTTTAAAAAATGTCCTGCTCACTATTTTCCATATTTTAGTAAGTAACTCCAGACCAATTTTATAAAACAAATGCAAATTTATTTAAAAATGGCATTACCACAAATGCCGTTCTGTACATTTCAAACTTAAAAGAAATAGTTCACATATTTAAATGAAAATCCTGTCATTGTTTACTCGCCCTTTACACCTTCCAAACCTCTTGCCTGTTCCATAAACCAAGCTTAAAGAAAAAGCCAGGTTTATTAATGGCGTATTCTGTTTCAGAATTGGTGTGGACTACTTCTAAATTGAACGACTTGACTAAAACACTAATCTTGATTTTTAGTCAATGCCACTGAAAAGACTGCATTTCTAGTCTATCAATTGACACCAGTTTGCTTATAAAAAACACCCATGCAGATCATTTTGAGAAATTTTGATTGATAAACATGAGACACATTGTCTAGAACCCCCCTAAAATGTATTCTTGTGTGCTTTTATTCACTCTTTTTGTCAGATACCAACATCCGACAGAAGTTGGTTTCAGTAAAGACAAAAAAAATAAACAAATGAGTTATTTCTTTAATTCTGTCTTCACCTCCATGTCTCACATCTTGTGTGCTCTTTCTAAGTGAACCAGAGGAAACTGCTGTGCTAATGGACTCTCATTAATTTGCCAACTAACAGTCAAGGTCAGAATTTTTGTTAAAAAGTACATTAAAATCAGATATTATCCAACAAAAAAAAAACAAACATGGAATTTATGGTATAGATTGCAAGATTTTCACTATAGTCGCCATTTAGTGCCATTATATTGATGACCATGAGAGGATTTTTCTTAAGTTTCTCCTTTTGTGATAAAAAAAAGAAGCACATACGGCAATAAAACAACACCAGGGTGAGTAAACGATGACTCAGTTGTCATTTGTGTTTGATTTCTCCTTTTAATGTGGATGAATTCTTGCATTCATGCTTTAGACAAGGTTATATTATAACATAACAACATAATACATCAAACACTTCATGTCATATGACTTATCTCATTCTTACTTTTTATAAAGTCCACCCTAATGTAATTCCCCTGTTCAATAATACACTACTTCTGAACTGAAATCCTACAATGACAAACAAAACACAGATTCCAAGGGGCAGTTCATATCCAAAATGAAACTTCCTCAACATTTACTCTCACACTCATGTTGTTCTAAACATTTATGTATGTCTTTTGAACACAAATGAAGATGTTCGGTAGAATCTTTTGGGGGGGGGGGGGGGAGCAACCATTGGCATCCATAGTAGGAGCAAAATATTGAAGTCAATGACTTGTGTTCAGCAGACAAAGAAACTAGTGGGGGATGAGTAAATGATAACAAAATTAAGCTTTTTAGGTGAACTATCCCTTTAACTTCTCGGCCACGTTCCTGGAGGTCCACCAACACTGCATGTTTTGTCTGTCCCACCAATTACAGATCTTTCAACCTCTTCTAATGAGCTGATGAGGGGTGTTTGGAGACATGGAAAATGTCTAGAGCTTGTTGTCCTCCAGAAACATGGTTGAGAAACACTGCTTTAACTCATACTACATTCTTCCCCACTTAACTACAACTCGTTACTTCAAAACGAATGGATAGTTTTCTTCAGATGTGATTGTTTGCAGATGAGACCTAGAGTTTTTCCCCAAATGATCACTATCACAAAGCAAACCGTCTTCAAGATAACTTTTCATATATCTAATTAAGACTTTCAAAGATGCATAAGGCTAATTACGTGCCATTGATTAGACTGTTCATAGCTGCATGGAATGTGTTTACAGGCTATTCATAACATATTAAAGGTAATGTGTGAAGCATGAATGGCCTAAGAAGATTTTCCTCATTCTGTTAAGCAGGGCTATTTTTACCAAACGTCTGCTAGCATAGCTCACCATCTACGTGTGGCTATATAAAACAGTTCACTTCATCTTTTGAAGCAGAACACAATCACGCAGATAAATGAGTGTTTGTGCATACATGCCAAGGGTGGATAAGAAAACACACAAAGACGTGTGCATTAAACAAACGACGTAACATCGGTTGTACTTGGGCTTTCAAATAGCTCCCTCTAGTGGACAAAATATGAATTTGTTTCTTGCACACTGCAAACAATTGTATATCGAGTCTATATTTTCCATGATTTATTTACTGCATTTATGTATTTTGTAAAACATGCTTACAAGGAGTACAGAAATGCTAAGGTAAAGTCTTTGCAACTGGTGTAAATGGTCAAATCTATAAACTTCAAAATCCCAGATTAAAGCACACACTCTGAAAATGAAGTCTGATTAATAAGTAACAATAAAACAAATGTCTGTTCAATGTACAATGTATAGTGCAGTTCAAACCTTAGACTCTTCTTCAAATGTGCGCCAGATGTTAAAGATCACATTAATTATTACAATCAATGATAGTATAGTAGACTTTATTTAAACTACAACTTTCCAAAAGAGCGTCTTTGCAATGATGTCATAGAAGAACCATTTTGATTCCCTAAAGAACCTTTTAGTGAACAATTCTGATAAGAACCATTATTTTTAGTATATTAATGATCTGAAGATCCACTTTAAAGAACATTTTGTGTATGGAAAACGTTTCAAGGATATTAACGGTTCTGTAAAGGAATAGTGCACCCTTCATTTACTCACTCTTGACTTGTTTCAAACCATGGAATGGAATCAAAAGAAGATATTTCAAGAACGCTGGAAAGCTTCTTTTCATAGCATTTGTTTTTCCTAGTATGGAAGTTAAAGGTTACAGGTTTACAACATTCTTCAAAATATCTTCTTTAGTGTTCAACAGAATAAAGAAACTCTTGAACCACTTGAAAGAGAGTAAATGAGAACGTTTTCATTTGTCATCTCCGTAGACTACAGCGAATAGTCCGGACTGCTGAACGAATCACTGGCACTGCCCTTCATACACTTCAAGAACTGTACTCTTCCAGAGTGAAGGGCTCGCAAAATCACTCTGGGCGAATCGCACCCAGCACACTACCCTGTTCAAACTGTTATCGTCTGGTCGGCGCTTCAGAGCATCAAGCACAAAAACAGCCAGACACAGGAAAAGTTTCTTTCCTCAGGCCATCTACCTTATGAACAGTTAAATATCCCCCAACTGTGCAATAAATATGTGCAATACTTTCTCATACGCACTTGTACACAGCACCTTACATTAAAATACAATACAATACTTTCTCCATTCACATTTGTACACAGCACCTAATAACCTGTATATTTATATCAATCTGCACATACAATTCAACATCCAGATTTCTGGACTAACTGCATCTCTGTTTAATGATTATCGTCTTTTTTCATATTTATTTTGTGTTGTCACTTGTCACATTATGTGCACTGGAAGTTTCTGTAGCCAAAACAATTCCTTGTGGGTGTGAAGCACACTTGGCAATAAAACTGATTCTGAGAGAGTAAATGAGAACATTTTCATTTGTGGGAGAACTATTCCTTTAAGAAACCATCAATGCCTATATAAAAAAAAACTAATTTATAGTGTTTATAAAGTGCAAACATGGGAATAAGGCACTAAAAGCCAGTAGAAAACACACAAAAAATGATCTTCATTCATGCAAGACTGCTAAAAGCAGGTAAAATAACACAAAATCTTCTGTACAGCTGAAGCCAAAATTATTAGCCCCCCTTTAGTGGGTTTTTTTTTTTTTTTTTTTTTTTTTTTTGCCAAATGGTGTTTAACAGAGAAAGGAAATTTTCAGATAATATCTTTTCTTCTGGAGAAAGTCTTATTGGTTTTATTCCAGCTAGAATAGAAGCAGATTTAAATTTTTAAAAACCATTTTAAGGTCAAAATTGTTAAGCCCCTTTAAGCTACTTTATTTATTGCCTAAACAAACTATCGTTACACAATAACTTGCCTAATCACTCTAACCTGCCTAGTTGACCCAATTAACCTGGTTAAACCTTTAAACGTCACTTTAAGCTGTATGGAAGAGTCTTTATCTAGTAAAATATTATTTACTGTCATCATGGCAAATATAAAATAAATCAGTTATTAGAGATGAGTTATTAAAACTATTATGTTTAGAAATGTGCTGAAAAAAAGTCTTCTCTCTGTTAAACAGAAATTGGGGGGAAAAATAAACAGGGGGGGGGGGAATAATTCTGACTTGAGCTGTATATGAACGAGTGTTATTCATTAAAGAAAAAGAGCAGTAGTGAGCACCCTGTAGGCCATAGATAAAGTTGTAAGCAGCCCTACGCCAAAGGCTACACCTCTGGTAGGTTGCGGAAGAGCCATTATGTACGCGACTGTATGGATGAATCGGGACACTACAAACACCCGGAAGTGCAAAAGAGCAGTGGAGAGAACCGGCCCCGTCAGTGCATACAGAAGACCGATCACCACAAAAGGAACGATGCTTTCCAGGTCATTCAGATGGCATCTGGGATTCAAGAACAAAAACATGAGGAGGAGATCACCCAGTGATTGTGCAGTTTAACAAATAGAAGTTTACCGTCGCACTCTTTCCACATCTGGATCAGTCCTAACCAGTTTTTTCTTGTCTTCTGCTATTGCCATGGCGGTGTCCTCCAAGTTGGAGAAGACCTGAACAAATGGCATCATTAAAGGGATAGTTCACACAAAAATGTAAATACTGCCAACATTTACACATCCACCACTTGTTTAGAATTTGAGTTTCTGAACAATGAACATTGAATACTGAAAAAATGTTGAAGAGAGAAACAACTATTGACTTTAATAGTATTTTTTGTTCCTATAGTGGACGTAGATGACTTTTTTTTTACAACATTCTTCAAAATATCTTCTTTTGTGATCAACAGTACAAAGAAAATCCTAAAAGATGTGGAAATTTTCCTTTTAAGGTGTTGTTTACTCCTGGTATTAAGGTGTTTTAGTAGGTCAAATCACAAATAGTTTACATCTGTTTTAGTCCATCTTGGTTTTGTCCACTTTTCTGGAGTATTTATGGGCTTTATCTGAACATTTGATCTAATATTTCTACTTTGTGCCTCAATATCAGGTTTCAGAGTAAATACAGGAATTAGAGAGTGAAGTTCAATACCTTTTAAGACCTTTTTAAATACTTTTTCCATACATTTTAAGACCTTATAACCACTTTTCAACTGGAAACACTGACAAGATTTTAACATACTGTATATATACTAAGTATTAATGTAAGAAATTAATTCAGCACATAAAGAACTGCCAAAATAATGGTGTTGTCTTAGTAAACAAAGCAGCATGATGTCAAATCTACCAGGATTTCATTGATTTTATAAACTACAGAGGATCCTGATATTCGCAGATTTAATTCGGGCCAACTTTAGCATACATTGCATCATCTAAAATTTTATAAAATGTAATATCTTATTAAATAGCATTTAAGACTTTTTAATGGCATTAAATTTCTCTATAATGATTCATCAACTTTTAATACATTTTACAATCCCGCGGACATTTGTAACGTAATTTAGTTCAACAATTCACAAAGTCGTGTCAATAAATTGAGGACAAAAATAAAGTGTACCTGTTTTGTCAATCGCAGGTAAGAGGTCATGAGGCTCATGAGCATCATTTTGAGGATGACTATGGTTGCGTATGTGGAGAAGGCCAGAAAGACCTCACTGTCGATCATGTGCACAACTTCTGCCATCTTAGTTTAAACTGCAGATAAACACCAAACAATAAATTACACAAACATTATTCATTTGCATTGCTTTTAATGCAGAAAATCGCATGCAACAGTCTCACAGATGCATCATTTCATACCTGATACTGACTACTACAGATCTTGCATAACTTCTATACTGCACACAGCCAGTTTTACCAGTTTAGAAAAAACCACACTTGGCAGCTATAGGTTACAAAGTTTCAGAAAAGCAGCCAGTTTAAACAGGATTTTTCTGCATCATTTCAATCACAAAGCTCAAGCTCTAAAATAAAACTAGAGTTATAGCCTATTTACTTTGTTTACGTTACCAGAATTGGACTAACTGCTATAGAAATCATTCCGTTGTACTTTATTAACAGCTTACAGCTCAGTTTCTGTCCTAAAGTCCTGTAACAGAAACCAAGCAAATTCGCTTGTTTTCTGATTTTTCACGTCGCAGAATTGAAAGCATCTAACATTGCTGGCGTTTAATATTGTCACTTCACTAGTTTTCGCACTCATTCGTCGATTTGTTTGTTTATGCAACTTTAATGGAAACAATAGCGTAAAGCTAGGACGCCAGAGGCGGTCTCTCCGGAACTTCAAAAATGTGTAGATGCCTGTTTAAAAACGTGAATATTGAAAAAAATGATAACAAAAAGTGCACAAGCAAGACGACTGAGAGAATTATAAGCTGAAATATAAGCGTTTTGATGCATTTCTCACCCTTTTGTCGCCTCTCTGCTTTGCTTTCACAGCTTTTCACTCCTGAACTAACGCGTGAAGGTGGGCGTGTCAAGTAACCTACATAACTATAGCTAATAATAATAATAATGACACTCTGGCGAACTGTTATTGCTAATGTTTGTTTTGCACAATACATGCATAGCACGGAGCCCCTGAAGCGCTTTACTGTACTGTCTAAAAATAAACAAATAACTATATAAAACACAAAATGCCACTTATTGCGTGTTATTAATTAAGTGTAATTATTTACTAAAATATTTCAACATATATAAAAAAAATGAATGAACATTTTAATGTGAAATACAACACAAAATAGATTTAGATAGTTATAAAAAAATATGAAATAAATTTAATATGAAACAAGATTAAAATAAATACGATGTTTAATTATATAAAAAATAATATATAACTATATTATAATATAATATATAATTATCTAATATTAAAACAATTTGATTAAAATAAGTAAATAACTGTATAGATAGATAGATAGATAGATAGATAGATAGATAGATAGATAGATAGATAGATAGATAGATAGATAGATAGATAGAATCTATACTTTGGATATAATTTAATAAAGTACATACACTACCTGACAAAAGTCTTGTCGTCAAAACCCAGTTATAAGAGGAACAAACAATAACTTCACTTTAAGCTGTTTATTATTATTATTTTATTATTTATTATTCATTATTTTTCAGATGAATCATCTGTTAAACTGCATCTCAGTCGTCACAAATAGTGCAGAAGACCTACTGGAACCAGCATGGACCCAAGACTCTCACAGAAATCAGTCAAGTTTGGTGAAGGAAAAATCATGGTTTGGGGTTACATTCAGTATAGGGGCATGCGAGAGATCTGCAGAGTGGATGGCAACATCAACAGCCTGCGGTGTCAAGACGTTTGTGTTGCCCATTACATTACAAAACACAGGAGAGGGCAAATTCTGCAGGATAGCGCTCCTTCTCATACTTCAGCCTCCACATCAAAGTTCCTAAAAGCAAAGAAGGTCTGGTGCTCCAGGATTGGCCAGGCCAGTCACCCAACATGAACAATATTAAGCATGTCTGGAGTTAAAAGAAGGAGGCTGTGAAAATTAATCCAAAGAATCTTGATGAACTCTGGGAGTCCTGCAAGAACGCTTTCTTTTCCATTCCACATGACGTTTTTATTGTTATTTGAGTCGTTGCAGAGATGTATGGATGCAGTCGTCCAAGCTCATGGGATTCATACAAGATTTATAAAAAAAAAAAATTTCCACTGCACCATGACTTTATATTCTATACTGTACATTATTTCTGTTCTGGACATTACTTTTGTCTAAGCAAACTCAGACCTTACTGTCCAAATTTAATCATTAAAAATCGAGACTCGATCATATTTTATTTTGGTAAAATAAGCATAATCTAGAGGCCTTTGCCTTTCATATGAGCCACTTCTGATACCAAATGATCAACAAGAGGTCAAGTTATTATTGGTTGTTCCTAAGACACACACAGTGTTCTTTTGGGCATGATGAGTAATGGCATTGTGCCATATTACAGTCTAATTAACAGAATGCAACTTCATTGAAGATATGAAACAGCTTACGAAACAGCGCGGAATGTGCTGCATTATCATGAATAAACTTTGACTTGATTTAGAAATCAGTGACCCAATCTGTTCTGCGCACCCTTAGGAAAAGCCAACAAGACTATGATAGATGTTGCTAAAAATTCTGTAAAGTACTAAATTATGCAACGAAATGATCCCGTTCAAATTTTACAGAAAGGCAGGTCTGAGCACTTGGAATGCCTCCTAAAAAAACACAGATAGCAACGTCAGTTTAACGCCGAGTCATGGTGACAATGACCTGTTGACTGATAACAAACATTTGATAGAAGAAACTGACATTACAACAGCGGCTTCTTTCCAAATACCTGTATATTAATTGAAAATGCAGTTGAATGTTCACAGATTTTATTATCAATTGCATACACTAGAGTGAAATAAGAAAGTATAAAGCCAATAAAATCAAAAAATACAAAACTGGCCTCTACCATTCTGCGGCATACTGCAATGCAATGGCATCTTTACAGATAGAGAGCTGTGGTGAGCACTCTGTAGGCCATGGAGAAGGTTGTGATCATTCCCACCACCCAGGACAGACCCCTGCTGGGCTGAGGAAGAGCCAGCACGTATGACGCGGTGTGGATGAAACGAGAGCCTACAAACACCCGGAAGTGCAGCAGAGCTGTGGAGAGATCTGGACCGGTCAGTGCATACAGAAGACCGATCACCACAAAGGGAATGATGTTCTCCAGATCATTCAGATGGCACCTGTGGATCAATAGTGAACGTCACTTTAAAGTGGTTTCCAACAGGTTGAAAGAGGATACATTGGTGAATTGGCATTACCTTCGGACACGCTCTACGTCGGGATTGGTCTGAAGCATCTTCTTTCGCGCCTCTGGATTTTTGCTCATTGCAGTGTCCTCCCAGTTTGAAAAGGCCTGAATTATGAACAGAAATAAAGTTGAAGTCAATACTATTAGCACTCGGGTGATTTATTTATTTTTTTCAGATATTTGCCTAATGATGTTTAACAGAGCAAGTGGTTTTTCACAGTATTTCCTATAATATTTTTTTTCTTCTGGAAAAAAGTCTTATTTGCTTTATTTCGACGAGAATAAAAGCAGTTTTTATTTTTTTCTAAACCATTTTAGCATATTTTTTCAGCATATTTTTTTTAATTGTCTACAGATCAATCTGTCATCATGACAAAGATAAAATAAAATAGGTTTTTAGAAATGAGTTATTAAAACTTTCGGTTAAACAGAAATTGGGGAAAAAATAAACAAGGGGGGCTAATGATTCAGGAGGGCTAGTAATTCTGACTTCAATTGTGTATAACTATGCGTCAAACTGAAATGACCAAAGGATGACTGCAATTCCAAAGCAGAAGCAAATGCTTCGATTTTGATTAAAGGACAGCAAAACCTTTTATTTTTTTTATTATTCCGACTAACTTTGTTATAGTTTCACTTTAAGACTAACAATGTGTGTTAGTAAAATAAACAAAGTAAATTCTGATTTTATGCGGACTTTAAAGTCGCATTGCATTGATTTAAGTTGAGTCAACTCATAAAAGCTGCAGCAAGTCTTACAATTTTAAGTTTTTGTTGTTGTTGTTTTTAATTTGCAGTGCAAGTCAGAATGAACATACAAAATTACAAAGTACATGGTGGTGTTGTTGCTGTTCAGTTTGCCAACCCTTCTTCAAAAACGTTAACATTTACTTTACCAATTTTACATAATTTACACACACCTCCCTACAGGTACTGAAAAAAATTATTAAAGATGATTCCTTGAATTAACTTTTTTTTTAAGTTAAGGGTTTGTAAACAATTTGTTTATGTTGAATTTAAACAAATAAATTAAGTTTAACATTACTAAATTTAATTTGTTTGTTTAAATTCAACACAAATAAATTGTTTGTAACAATTTTGCAGACAGCATTTTTTTCAGTGTACTTAGTAAAAGTTGACAGTGCCAATGACTGGCCTGGCATATGTAAAACAGCATTTTTTGGAAGATTTCATGTATATTTGTACACTTTTTCTTTCTTTTTCTTTTTTTTTTTTTTGCTGCATGTTTAAGCTACTTATTTAAAATGCTATTTGATTTTAAGAATCAACACAATTTTTTTGATAAGTTTTTTTTTTTTGGGACAACTTACTTGTTTCATGTTTAATCCATTTAAAGTTGTAAAAACAATCAAAGTCCTCATAACCCGGAGGCTGAGATTGTTATTCTTTTCGTAATGTGAAGCAGTTCCTAGAAAAACTGATTTTTACTGAGCAAACAGTGGACGTGGCTTGTTTTTTCTACCACGGGCTGAATAGACGAAGCAAAGTAGGCATTTCATTTGGAAAGATCGGGAAATGGGGTTTAGAAGAGTTAATACAACCTAACAGACTCCTCCTGCTCACCAGTTATGACTGTTGTCGAAACTGACAGTTGAAGCAGCGTTAGCATTACCTCAGAATCACGTAATCTGGTAAAATAACTGAAAACAAACAGGAAGTGCATTTTCAGATTTCAATTAAAGATTAGAGGGGCAAACTTTTTTTTCTTAATGACATGCACAGATTAAATATTCACCACAAAACTAGCAGTGTGAGCTAACAAAATCATAAGGTTAGTTTTGATATCTTAGGGACATTAAGTTAACCTAATCGATTTGTGTTGGGACAACGTAAAGGCATTGTTTGGAACCCAATATTTTCACAGTGTAAATGTCAGGGTTTATTTTAATGTTGTGTATGCATAAAATATTTGAAAAATGCGAGGGGAAAATATGCAGTTTTTGAAAAATGCAGTTTTTGACTACATCTCTGACATCTCCTAAAACTTTGCTATCTTAAATTGTAGGCTTGGTTTAGAAGCAAAAATTAAAAAGTTTACAGTGTTAGCTTTGTGGCTGAACTGATAGCTTCTGCTCTATGTTTATGGCATGTTATAGTCTCTTGTTGTTTTCTATGTAAATTGCATGAGCTTATTTTGTAAAAAGATTGCAGTTACACACAGTACATACACCATCTACTTCAAATCAAATGGACTAAAGAGATTAGATTAGAAACCATGTGTAAACAGGAATGCGTCTCCGTTTACTAGTGGTCTGATTGACCGAAATAAATCTAACTGTAAATGGTTACAATTGTAAACAGCTGCCGAAGAGCAACATTATAAAACATTGGTCTTGATGACCACAATCATTATGCATCAACAGCACTTACTTTAGTCTTAACATTTGTAAACAGCATCATAAAGTATTAGCTTTGTTACTGAAAATGCAACATATTTCATCGACAGGCCAGAATGGATGTTTACTATTATTACTATTATTATCATACAGGCCAAAAAGGCAAATCTGGCTTTTTTACAGTATTGCAGTAAATTGCACCAGATGCTCCTAATGTGACTGGAGGAGCGCCATTTCCAAAATGGGAGCGCTGGAAATAATGACCGGTTATAAAAGATGAGCTCTACATGATGCACTTAGAGTCTTGCGTTGGTTTTTATGGTCAAGTTAATTTCAACATCATGTGGAACTAATCTTATTTAGTCACTGAATTGTATAAACCAACTGCACCTTTCTAGTAAACCTGAAGTATCCGGTCAGAGGAGCCATGAACATCATTTTGAGGATGACGATAGTGGCATACGTGCAGAAGGCCAGGAACACGTCGCTGTTCATCAGATCGGCCATTTTGACAAATTTCCTGCAAAGGATGAAGTAAAATAGAACAAAGGCAAAATTGAGCAATGGAATAAATGTTATTGAAGTCAGTGGTTACAGGTTTCCAACATTCTTCAAAACATTTTCTTTTGTGCTTAAGAGGAAAATCTGGTATGGAGCAATTATTCATTCATTCATTTTCCTTCGGCTTAGTCCCTTTTTTATCAGGGGTCACCACAGCGGAATGAACTAACAACTATTTCGGCATGTGTTTTACACAGTGAATTTCAGTCACAACCCAGCACTGGGAAACATGAAATAATTAAATTTGTAAACATTTTTGGGTGAAACATCCATTCAATACTGTATGTATATAAAAAAAATTCCAAGCTGCATAAAAAACATTAGGACAAGGCACTATGCTAAAATTTGTGATTTTTAGTTTTATAAAGTTTTTTTTTTTTCAGTATAGAAAGAAATAAAAACATAAAAAATACACTTCTAACTGTTTGTAGTGCACATTATTAAATTGTGTCTGTATATTTCCATAACAATACATATTTTAAAGGCTGTTTTCTCAAAATGAGTTTTTTTTTTCTTCTGCAATGAACCATAAAGAAGTCATAAATAAGAAATAAATTTGTTAACTGTGGCTATTTAATGATAGCAAATCAATTCAACAAAATACATGTTTATTTTTTACAATAATAAAACCATGGTGGTTTATTCCACAGTGTTGACCGCTGGTAAATAAGGGACTAGCTGAAGGAAAATGAATAAAGTGTATTTTTTTGTATGGAGATATGTTGCCTTTCAAATCTCTAATTTTAAGCTACATAAAACTACAAGACCATCTTTTTCTCATTATATTCAAACCTTGCAAACAATAACATATATAAAAATGAGAAAAAAAAAACATATAAAATTTGCTAAAATACGTAAATAAAGGGGGTGACAACCCCTGGAATGACACACAGTGTTGTTTGGGAGGGGGGTTTAAAGAGGACACTTGTTTGCTTAAGATATGAAACAGCTTACCAAACAGTAAAGAATGTGCTGCAATATCATAAATAAACTTTGACTTAATTTTGTAATCTCAATCTGTTCTGAGCATCCTCAGAAAAGCCAATAAGACTATGATAGATGTTGCTAAATGTTCAGTACTAACTCATAAAACAAAAACGATCCAGTCAAGTTTTACAGAAAGTCAGGTTTAAGCATTTGGAATGCTTCCTAAAAAAAACAGATAACAACTTCCGTTTAACGCCAAGTCATGGTGACAATGACCAATTTCAAAATTGCCTGGTTCCATTTTTTACAATAATAATAATAAAAACCAATGTTTTAATGGGGATATATGTTGCAAAACGCCTATTTTAACTCAAATTTTAACGCACATAAAACTACTACGTCGTCTTTTATATATTTATTTATTTTTTGCTTGTTATATTCAAACCAGTCCACCATTTTGTACATATCACTCGCATGACCCTTATTACCAACCTATCTACGCTGCAAGTAAGCCTAATATTACACAACGCGTGGGTTCGTCAATTAATAATCAGGTGTAAATTCGGTCGCGTCGCTTGCGTGTAGTTTTGAACCAATGTTTACAGATTCTTTATACTGTTATCACCTCCCCATATCATAATCAAACGTCTCTATAATGCAATATTAAACTAAACAAAAAGTAAACGAAAGTGAATAGTTGAACAATGCATACCTGGCTGACGATTCTAGTGAATGACAAGTGCTTGTCAGAAGTGTGTGAACTCTCTCAGTTGTGGCGCAAGTTTGTCTAAAGGACAGCCTACTAGGAGCAGAGCCAACACGTTGCTCTTTTCTGCTGCAGATAATGCTTTATTGTCTTACAGTTAACAGTTTAATACTTTCGGATCAGCGAGCAATCATAGATTATTTTGATCTGCATAGATCAGTCAAGATAAACACAACTGCCAAATCTTTCTACAATGCACTCTGTAAGTGTAGGTTTAAGCACATATTGTACTTGCATTTTTTGACTTCCTAAACCGGTATGTCATGTTATGTAACAGTGGAGGAGGGAGGGGAAGGAAAATGTGCAAAAAATGTTTTGAGTTCAACCCTCTGTTTTTTCTGGAATACAAGTTTCATGTGCTTTTTGTTCAAAATTATCTTCGCTGTAACACATTAAGTATGCTTAAAACCAATTCAATCAAAATAAACCTTCCTGTATGGTAAAAACTATGAAAAATGTTCTCAGATTGTTTTCCAAAAAATAGCTGGTATATTTATAGAACAATAAACAAAGTAAAACCAAGACATATTTTAAGCAGAGAGACAGAAATAGTCTTTTCTTGTAAAACAAACTCAAATAATTATTCTTTTGTATAGTGTGAAATTAGCAATGATAAGTTTAAGGTTCCAATATGATCTTATAAAAAACAAACCATTACATAAAATAGTATTTTGCTGTAAAACATATACTCTATCATTTTATTGATCATTTTGAGTAATTAATAATAATGCTACCAGAACAAAATATTGAGCTAAGCGATGACAAGTTCATGGGTTCCAGAAGAATTTTATGAGAACATTAAATTATGAAGAAGAAAAACAGATACAATTTTTTAAAAATATACATACAATGAAAATGTAGTATAAATAAAGTTCAAAACAGACATATCACACAAACAATGAGAAAGTTATGAGTTCCAATATCCAGAGAAGTTGTATGAATTTGTATGAGATGATAATTTTACAAACAATTATAAAAGACTTGAGGTGAAGAAATGACAAAATAACAAGTAATGCACTGACTTTAAAAGCGATCATTTAAATAGATGTTTTTTTTTTTACTTCTATTTTTTATTTTGACACTGGCAACAAGGTTATATGTTTTAATGCAATTTATTAAAAGTTAAAATTTGAAGCAGATTCCTTTTTATAAAACTTTACATTTTAGAACATACAAGTCTTTTTTTTTATTTATAACTTTGAAAACATAATTTTTTACAGTGTATAGTATGATGCCAGCAAAAAGGACACATATTCCAACCCAATTTCAATATAAGCTGAAAATTTTAATAGATAAACTTACTTGATACATACTCCAAAAACTCAGATAGTCTGTAATTTTTCTCTTTCTAAGTTGGCGGTTCATTCCGCTGTGGCGACCCCAGATTAATAAAGGGACTAAGCCAAAAAGAAAATGAATGAATAAATAAAAATTGTTGATTTTTACCATTAGAGGCTAAATACATTCACACACTATTGCCACAAAACTGTGTTTGAACCCTTAAAAACTGATTTTTTCCATAAAAGGTCCCACCATAAAATCCCAAACACTATAGAATTCACAAGACGTTTCACTCGTGTAGTTTTGAATGGGGAAAAGTGTAATGGTCAATATGGCAAATGAAGCCCAGTACTAGTAAAATCATTCACCACTATAGGCTGATGTTTCTTCGGAGGAGTGGCTCAGACCAGATGTGTGCAGTTTGGTGGTCAACAAACAAACTGGAATCTCAGCAAATACTTCCAAGACATAAGAAATATATCCAAATAAAGCTCAAAATCACTTTTAAATGAACCAAGTGCACTTGAAAACAAAAGTTATCTGGTTTCGTAAATCGTATGAAACAAACCCAAGGCACAGTCAAACGCACATGACAGCAACTAATCAAACGCCAACAAAATTGTAGTCACTTTCATTTCTGGAGGAGATTCACCATCAAGACCAAGTTGTGGATTACTTCAGAAGACCAGCGCGATCTGATGAAGCATTATTCAGAGGATGATATTATTACGGCCATAAATGAGGTTGGTGTCGTGATCTGGTTTCTTTCGAGTGTGCATTCGCATTAGCTTGGGCAACCTGAACAATATTGCCAGTCTTGTTTGATTCAGATATTTAGAAACAAAACTTATGAGACAGTTGTTGTATAAGTTAATTGGTGATTCCAAATATGTAATGTAATCGTAAGCTTGGAAAACTGTTTCGAAGAATTTGATTTTTCCCCATTCAGACAGAATGCCCAAGAGGCGTTTTAAAAATGGCTAATAAAGTAAAATGTCTTGCTTTAAAGGGACTTTGTAAAACACTAACCCAACTTCTAAATCAAACACACATGACTGAATATGAACTACTGTTTCGAGATTGTTAAATTGCATAGAACAAAAACCATCACCTGAACAAACATAATGCTATTTTTTTTGTTTTGTTTTCCCTCAGATGTTTTCCCTACATGGTGCACTGCCACATAACTATTGGCATCTCTAAGCTATGTGTTTAAGTTATCCGCTTCGTTAGGCCTCATTCTGTTGACTGCACACATAAGGCATCATGCCATGTAATTGTAGGCACTAAAGAGATCCTGTCATCTTCCTCCGCAGCGCGAAGTTAGACACGTCTCAAGCTGAGTGAAGAGCAAGACGTCTCCTTCCCTCTTTACAATTACACCACTGTCACGCTAAACAGCTGCGCGTCTTGTCGCCATTGTGCTGGTGGTTTTTTTCGTAAGGCATTGCAGGTGCGAGCAACATCCTTATCGCTGCTGGAACATATTCGGCTCTTTACATATGCATGAGGGGAGAAAAAAAAAAAGTGCGGCGCCGAGAACTAGTTGATAAAGAATGTGGACTGATGAGATATTCTCCCGACTGACACGTTCAACGTTCACTTTTTTTTCTCCCTAGTAATGCGTTTCACCCCATGTTTACCAAATGTGAGGCTGTGCTACTTTTGCCAGAGGAGCACATATGAGAGATGTCAATCAGGGATTTAAAGATGTCACCGATTTAACAGTGTGGTCTGTGTCAGGTGTCAACAAGCTCACCATCGGAATAGTAATGCTGCGAGACACAGATCATTAGTGTTTGATTCCACAGCTCACACCAAGCACGCTAACTGCTTCTCCTTCAGACTTGGAAGCAGTTTCGTGCTTAATAAATAGTAGACTTTGAGGATCGCGAGATGCGCAGATGACTAAGTGCATGCAAAGCTGTGCAGAAGAGTTATGAATTTTAAGTGCATGGCGTATTTATGCTGTTGAACTGGGTGATCTGTAGGTGGTGTGTGTGTGTGTGTGTGTGTGTGTTTTGAGTTTAAAAGTATTTAAATTAAAACAATTAGAAAGTTTTACAATAGAGTTTGGCAAACTGTGAAGCATCTTTATTTTTTGATTTGGCATGATTTGAAGAATGTTCTTGGCAAAAATGATGCATAAATATACTATACACTTCAAAAGTGTTTAAAAAACTACATTTAAAAAAGGTAATTCTTGAAAATAGCAATATTATTACTATTAATATTATTGTTATAATAATAATTATATATTATTATAAATTTTAATAATAATATATTATTCTAAAAACATTATTACGACTACAACACTGTAAAAAATATCTATAAATTAGCTGTTTTCTGTATTTTGTGATTTATGTTTTTGATTTTCCCCATTTATTTATGCATTTGAAATGCATTATGTGACCTTGATCTTTCTTTCATCAAGTTTTAACCTTGAAAAGTTTGAAAAAGTGACTTTTATTAACATTTTTAATAGTTTAAACTCATTTATTGTCTAGGTTGGTGTCTAGGTTGTCAGACTGGGGCGACGGTTCATCTACCAGCAGGACAATGACCCAAAGCACACCGCCAAAATATCAATGGAGTGGCTTCACAACAACTCGGTGAATGTATTTGAGTGGCCCAGCCAGAGCCCAGAGCTAAATCCTATTGAACATCTCGGGACACCTATGATGAAAATCTTCTTTTGTAAGTTGTTTGTACCTATTTGTGTGTAGTTATAGTATGTCCACAATGTTAAAGTAATATAAACAAAATAAGTCTCTTTTTAAAATCCCTGATGTTATATAGGATCCAAATCCCTTCCATTTTGAGGCCCACCTTAATGTGACATAGAAGTACGGTTTCCCCGCTTACCGAATTGATTGACATCTGTGTATTAACATGTCTCTAGCAACGCGTATAATCCTATCAACAAGGCAGGACTTGCACAAAACAACTGTGCAAGTTTTCAATAAAGAAAACTTGCACAAAACTGTGATCACCTGCACCTCAAGAATGACTTTTACATGTTTAAACTGTTTTTAAAGTGTAATAAATACAAAAAAATATCTACATAATTCGTAAATGACTTTGTGTGTGACTCATTGTTGCAGAAAGGCTTGAATTAACACCAAAACAAATATATTAAATAACATCTGCTTTATTCTTGTCTGTCACTGTGCTGTTTATCTATGTGAAAGCTACACGCACCAGAGCAATACAAACATATCTCTGACAAGCACATGGGAACAGTGGGTGAGGAGAACTAGCTCATTTGCATTAAAGCCACAGGCAACAAAAACAGCTACAATGTCATAGCAGCTCAAATTTCCCAGATTTAAAAAGTTATAATAAATAATCAGTTGGGTGTTTTGAGCTGAAATTTTATGGACACATTCTGGAGACACAAAATATTTATATTAAATCTTACAAAAGGGTTAAAACAGGTGCTCTTTAAGTAACATTTTTCATCATATCGGACTGGTAGGCTTGAGCACACAAAACTAGCAACAACCTAATAATAACACACTGCAAGATCATTGTAGGCAGAGTCACGTATGGCAAAGCTAAACAAGGTAACCAGGCTGTACGATCTCTTGTTGATTTGTATAATTCACTGTTTTAGAGCGAGACGGGGAAGGAGAGCAGAGAGAAGGCAACCCAAATAATGCAGTATGATTTCCCAAAAGGACCTGTTAATGGCCAACACATGAATTGATCTCTCACCAGTCTCACCAGTAATTGGGATGCCGACTGTGGTGTCACTATATTGATTTTTTTCACTGGTAGCCAACTTGCGCCCGGGTTGTAGGACAACGATGACTAAATAACAGCCAGACCAATGATCTTAATGCCAGGAGCCAAGCACAGCTATTGATTTCATTACTGAATGCCTCCTAGGCTCCAAGCACATACATTTTTGT